TCGAGGACTGGAACGAGTTTTACGATGCATTTGTAGCGGGTCATGGTTAGTTTTTGTGTCTATGACACCATGGAGGTATAAAATGACACTATGTTGTCGTCAGGCAGTTAAAGATGGCTGAAAGGGTAAATCTGGTAGAGGTGCATTATGGGTCATGTGTTGTATTAAGTACCGTATTACTGTACAGAAGTCATAAAAAAATACAACACCACACATTTCCTGATAACTGAATTCCATGTGGATACTTTACTAGTAAGCATAATACAGTTGCGTTATTCATGTATATAGATTATTTACGCTAAAACGACAAACGGTGTTTGTACAACAAACACTACTTATCATAAAGATCATAAATAAAAGGTGTGCTGTTCTAAGCAAACTTACAAACATGCTGAATCATGGAAACCTTTGTCTCATTTTCACGCTTTATAAATGATTGATGACTCATTAAAATTTCACTTCATAAGCACCTATATAGTGGCACCAGTTGTGAATTGGGGGAGATCTCGGAGACAGAATTCGTCAGGGAGAAGAAAATCCTGTAAATATTTATTGACAGAGAAGTTCAAAAGTACACGCTCCTAAATATGAAACTAGATTGTATTGCTAAATAAACAATGGATTGGATTGAATTATTACGACAGTGGTAGGGCCTATGTTGGTTAATAAAATACAGCCAACAGACTAAAACCAATCATTCCCTAATAGAAACGTAGCTAAAACTCAGTGCACTGTGTATGAAAAAGGGACTGGTCTGAACCTACTGTTGAAAAAAACACAAACATATAAATGAACATGTGTATTCTCGAATTGTCATATTGTTAATAAAGGCATCGAATATCACTGCATGGCCCTGGAATGTAACTTCACCTAATTTGTCTCGAATAAAAACCCTGACACTAACGACGACAGAAAGCCATCTTATTTGGTGTAATCGTATGAATTTAGAACATGTGACCATCATTATCTCAAAACTTCAGTATTTTCACATTATTCTTTTCTAAAACTGCAGGTCATGGAGGTTCGTGGTTTGATATGAATCTGTATTGGTGGGGCAGAAGAAATGATGATAATGTATTGTTCCTTAAGTATGAGGATATGAAGCACGTATGTACATATGTAGAAGAAAGTATATTGTCATAACATTCATAATCATTATTATCATAATCGTTATCTTCGTCGTCATCATCACCACCACCATACAAGCAATAATTCATCAGTTTTATCACAAATTTTGCTGTGTGAGGGTGGCAGTTAAACATTTATCTGACGTTCGTGATTTACTTGTATTTGTTGGTAGGATCTTAAAAGTGTTGTTGTTCAAATTGCCAAGTTTCTCGGTTGTGAGATTCCAACTGGTGGTATGGAGAAAATATTGTCCCACTGTTCTTTTGCAAGCATGAAGAACAATGCAATGACCAATTATTCAGAATCAACAGATATTCGGCAAGATATATCGCCATTCCTTAGAAAAGGTAACTACAGTATTATTAATTAATTATTATTCTTTATTAATGAGTTATTTCTATAACTGTGATTAAATCTGTTTATATTCCAGCCTGCTAATTCAGTTTAGTGTATTTGTATGCACTGCATTTCATTTATTTGTCCCAAAACTTAAAAATTTACAAAAACAGAAACAGCAAAGAGTTACGGTATTGTTTTTTGTCTAAATTTCTCATTCTCATTGCAGGTGTTGTGGGTGATTGGAAGAACTATTTCACGGTAGCTCAAAATCAAGCATTCGACAAAATATACTATGAAAAGTTAAAGGGCTCAGGACTCGTATTTGATTTTGAAATGTAATATCAGTTGTAGATACAGTCGGCCTACTATTAGTAATAATATTAAAAATAATTTTAGGTAGTGTTATTTCTAATTCAAGTTGCACCAAATTCAATGATTATTGGTGAGGGACCTCATAATAAAATATATACCGGTAAATAATATTAAAGTTAAACATACATTTACATATTTTATTACAATTATAATTGCTGCGAAGCAGCCAATTCATATTCTTGACAGCAATTTGACCCCTGAAAGGTCATTGTTTGTCAAAAAACAAGGGCCTAAGACGACTGAAAAGCGGAGTTTCCTTCTTTCGTTCTGCCGGGTAAAATCAATTACTTTAGGCGACGTTTGTAGACTAACCTACACGTACCAACGTCCGCATGTCGCGACGTTCGAGTACAGTTAAACTTATTTACTAGCCTATTTCAGCGTGCTAATTATTTATAAATAATTTTGTTTGAAGAACATTTATATGCAGTTGCACTTCGCAGCACTTCACTTGCAATTTGCAATTTCTAGTTTATTCTTAAATGCGTTAGTGATTTAACTTTCAAAATACTAATAATTTACTGTAATTATTCTTTCAAAATGTTATTATACTTACATTCTAATATCATTGCATAATAATAAATTATTATAGGCCTACTCATTTATGATTGTCACCTGCTCTCCTTTCCGTACTTCGTTTCCGTATGAATCATATTTTTACATATTTATTGTGCTCGGTTTGAGTAAGAAGAGTTTCACCCTCTTCCCCCGACAGCTTACGAACTGACATTTTGGGGTTGTCTTGGGGTTTGGTGCTTTGTGTTAAAAGGTTAAAGATTGTTGTTTGGTCTCGAATTAGAGCTGATTGTTGTTATTTGGTTCTTTGAATAAGTGGTCTTGGATTAAATGTGTTTTTAAAGTATAATACAGTGTACCCTCCAATTTGAGACTGATCTATCTTCTAGTGGCGTAACGCCGAGGGGTGGTGCCAACGGGGGAGACGAGGAGGATTGCCGGAGGAAAGGCCTCTCGTGGTGAAAATAAATATGTATTTTGTACATATTAGTAGACTCTAAAATCGATTAATTTGAAACCCGTAAATTATCAAAATTTTCAGGGTCTTCCCCATGGACTACTTCTAAACTTTTTCAGCGAGGCTCGAACAAGTTCACTTGTTCTCGTCGGGGATTCGACCTCCTAATAATTCGAATAATCGGATGGTGAATGCCTACATCATCATCGATTGGGACCATAAAGAACGATGGTCATTTTATTCAGATTGGCTTTATCATGTTTCGGAACAGCATAATTTACACCTTATTAAAACAATCACATCAATTTTGTTACCCAACCGTCTTATATTAGTGTTTTTAAGACTATTATTAGACCAGCAGTCGTCCATACAATTATTGTGAGGAAAGTAAATTTTTATCCGCCTCTAAATTTTTGTAGTGAGAGTCTATTATTTAAATGTTGGAAAGGTACCTTATATAGGCCTACCAGAAAAATATGGGTAATGGCCATGCGAAAAGTGAAGCACCGAGAAGGTGCGGTGTTAAGATTTTGTTTAGAAATGCTTGAGACCTTGACACGCAACGTGCAGTTCTCCTCCTTCTGGATTTTTTCTTTTCTCTATTTTCTCATTTTGGGGGGTGGAGACTATCCCTCGTGCTCCTTGGATCCGCCCCTGATAACGATTTATTGAATGAATTGTTGATAGGCCTAATGCTTATTTTATTGGCACAGCTTTATTGGAACTTCGATCAATACATTCATGACCAAATTAAAAATGTTTGTGCAAAATATTGCTTGATTATAATATTGTTAAATAGTCACACGATAGGCATCTTGTGCAGGGACATGTTCCCTCTTTTGCCTACCAAACTCATTACGTTTTGAGTGAAATAATATTATGAATTATGAATATTTTTTTACCTTGTCTAGTTTACTGATACGCAATGGGCCCCCAATATTTTCTCGCCCTCGGGCCCAATGACTCGTCGTTACGCCACTGGATACTTTTCTAACATGGGCGTAACGACCGATAGGCCTGAAGAACGCACTTTCGTACATAAATTATTACGACGTCGAACCAAAAACAGTGTGTATATTTATATTGAAGACTAGTTGGGCTAAGCCTCGTTTGTCTGATCTGCCAACATATGCCTAGGTAGGTTAGCATGCCTTTTGTAAACCAGGACCCAATAATATTTTTTTACGTTTCTTCACGGAGGGGGGTTCGGGGGGTTCGTCCGAACCCCCCTGAACCCGGCACTGGTTATTGTATAACGGTTTCCAAAGGGTCCACTTTCCACTGAAACGAACCTCCCACAAATTAAGTCACGCTACGGGCCTGATGTTATCTCGTACGAACGACTTATTAATATGTTCTCGTATGACGAAACATTTTTTCGTTGGCAGCAATACGCTTCCTTTGTAGAATACACATTGGTTGACCTATAGTATACTTGACTTTAGGCGTACCATTGTACCATTGTCGAAATTGTTTCCGTTGATAGCAAAGTAATATATTTCTACTAAACAAGCTGGCCTTGACGACGTGTCGTCAACTCTAGAGTAAGTTTATTATTCCTTAATTCATTCACTATAAGTACAAGAATAAATTATAGGCAGTAGCTACAGTGGTGTAGGACCGTTTCGAAACGGAATTAAGCCAATCGAGCTCAATTCTGAAGTGGGCCTGATCGTCCTGGGCCCGATCGTCTAGTGCTGCGGTACTCAAATAATCTTCAGGCAATTTTCAGTACTTACAGAAAACGTTTTTCTAAACATGACCGCCGACTGTTCTCTGGCTTTTTCTGAGTGTCTCACTGTGTCTTATACTGGCGTAGAATATTGACATAGGGAGGGGACTAAAATATAAAAAAGACCTGCAATGAGCAAATTTCAGTGTTTTTATTATACTAGCGTAGGCCTATGTTCAGTTGGAAGAGTAGTATCAGATTCCGAACGTAACCCCAAGGGCGGATTCGCCCCCCACCCCCACCCCCAGGGCAGTGTTGTAGATGTGTATAAGAGACAGTGATAATGTATTGTTCCTTAAGTATGAGGATATGAAGCACGTATGTACATATGTAGAAGAAAGTATATTGTCATAACATTCATAATCATTATTATCATAATCGTTATCTTCGTCGTCATCATCACCACCACCATACAAGCAATAATTCATCAGTTTTATCACAAATTTTGCTGTGTGAGGGTGGCAGTTAAACATTTATCTGACGTCCGTGATTTACTTGTATTTGTTGGTAGGATCTTAAAAGTGTTGTTGTTCAAATTGCCAAGTTTCTCGGTTGTGAGATTCCAACTGGTGGTATGGAGAAAATATTGTCCCACTGTTCTTTTGCAAGCATGAAGAACAATGCAATGACCAATTATTCAGAATCAACAGATATTCGGCAAGATATATCGCCATTCCTTAGAAAAGGTAACTACAGTATTATTAATTAATTATTATTCTTTATTAATGAGTTATTTCTATAACTGTGATTAAATCTGTTTATATTCCAGCCTGCTAATTCAGTTTAGTGTATTTGTATGCACTGCATTTCATTTATTTGTCCCAAAACTTAAAAATTTACAAAAACAGAAACAGCAAAGAGTTACGGTATTGTTTTTTGTCTAAATTTCTCATTCTCATTGCAGGTGTTGTGGGTGATTGGAAGAACTATTTCACGGTAGCTCAAAATCAAGCATTCGACAAAATATACTATGAAAAGTTAAAGGGCTCAGGACTCGTATTTGATTTTGAAATGTAATATCAGTTGTAGATACAGTCGGCCTACTATTAGTAATAATATTAAAAATAATTTTAGGTAGTGTTATTTCTAATTCAAGTTGCACCAAATTCAATGATTATTGGTGAGGGACCTCATAATAAAATATATACCGGTAAATAATATTAAAGTTAAACATACATTTACATATTTTATTACAATTATAATTGCTGCGAAGCAGCCAATTCATATTCTTGACAGCAATTTGACCCCTGAAAGGTAATTGTTTGTCAAAAAACAAGGGCCTAAGACGACTGAAAAGCGGAGTTTCCTTCTTT